GTGCTTATAAACTGAAAGAAAATGCAATCCATTTAGACAACAACAAATTCACAACTGCCTTATGCTAGTTATAAGAATAATAATGATAGTGTTAACAGGGGATTGATTTAAATAATCCTAAAAGTTTCAGCGTGAAAATTTCATATTAATTTTTGCTCCTAGTTTAGTTGATTTAGGTTCATATAGACGATAATGCAAAAGGACAGAGAAGCCAGTAAATCAGGGAGCGATAATGATTAACAGCATTATCTAACTGACAATCTGAAACAATGGGAAGTATGATGGAATTGATTCTGAATGAAGAGGTTAGATAAATTATTTATGACACTGTATGGTACTACTTGTTAGTAGTTAAAAGTAAAACTCAAAATATTCTGTGGGCTGGTGAGCTGATTATACAGCCAAATCCATGAAATAAGTTGGCTAGAGATCAGTCATGATTCAGAATAAAACTCCTCTTGTTTAGAATAGTTTCAAATGAGTTATGAAAGCATCTAAACAGGAGTGTTTGTGTCTGAATAGAGTGAATTACCTTGTAAGATAATAGTTACGCTATACATTCGTGATCGCGCAAATGATTGTTTCTCTTCAAGTGGATTCTCTATATAATTTGTTAGGTTAATAAACTGAGAGTTAATGAGCATGAATCACTTGTCTCGTAAAAAGTAGTTCAAAAATGATATTTCAAGTAGTGATTGTGGAGTTTTAGTTCAAATACTTTATTTTTTTATTTTTTGACGGGAGTAACTATGACTCTCTTAAGGTAGACAAATGCCTTGTCATCATCCGAACGTTTCAGGAGTGTTTGGGCATGTTTGCATCAGGCTGAGCTGCGCCTTCTGCTATCCTGCGAAATATTTGTGCATGATGTGTTCGGGTATATTCAGTGACGTGTACAAATGGAGCCTTTTGGGGGTTGTGGTAGTGGCTACCTCTTCGTGGTTCTGCGAGGCAACGTGGCGTTGTTTACAGAGCTGCGGCTAAAAGCCGTTCCGAACTCTTAGGACACCATGCCTGGCATGGTCCAGAATAATGGTGCGTGTTAATGGTCTTAAAGCCATGGATGTGGTTTAGCCACTCTGAGGATTAGGACTGAACGCCTTCAAGTCTGAATCCCGTCCATTGAGCGTAGGTAAATGAAAATAATTGTTTGAGGACTTGTCCTCTATCATTCTGCTTGTAGTAAATACGTTGAAATGGATATAGCTTTCCGGTTTTCTTGAAGGCGGCTCTCAACAATTTGTTTGAGGAAGCATCCGTAAAAATCCTGGACTATTGAAGCCGACCCTATGTGGTTGTCCCAAACACTCTACATCTCGGTGTAGTGTGTCAAATAGAGTCGGGGCCCCTTAAACAAGGGTTATGGGATCCTGTACTGAAAGGGCACTTGATCGCAAATGATGTCTGCCCATCTATGTAGTGAGATTAACCCTGCTTGGCTGAGTGCTTGGACGCCAGACGGTTCGAAAGGCTGCTGGTTAGTGCACTGCTGAGTGGCTTTAATCCGTCCGGAGTGCCAGGACTAGCTGGGGAAACCCGCCTTGTTTCCCATGTGGGTTGTGAATTGGCTGGAAAGATTGAGTTAATTAATAAGCACTAGGGTGGAGATGACTGCTCATACGCACACAGATTTGATGTCCAACTTGCTTGCACAAGAATCTAGTCGACATGTACATACCCTTTTGGGCAATGTGAATCGCGTGATGGCAAAACGTGTGAAACTTTGTGATGTGTGAAAAGCAGCATGTGTGCATGTGCAGCAGGCATGTTGGTTGACCTTCAAATAGTTCAAATACTTTATTTTTATTGACAATTTTTTTTACTTACGCCTGTTATCTCCGATGGAACACAGGCCTCTGACCAGTAAAATCCAGACTTCTCTGTGCTGAGCTTCTATTTCCAGTTCTGTCCAATTTTTGTTCATTCTTCTCATATCTGTCTTCATTTCTTGTTGTAATATGTTCCTTTTTCCCCTTGACCTTGAGGGTTCCAAGTGAGGGCTTGTCTTGTGAAGCATTTCAGTGATGTACTCAATGTGTGTCTCATCCACTTCCAGTGCTTCGCCCTGATTTCCTCCTCCAATCGAAGCTGATTTGTTATTTCCCACAGTAGCTTGTTAATGATGTTGTATGGCCAAGGAATCTGAAATATTTTCGTAGAGGACTGTTAATAAACACTTGTATCTTCTGAGTGATGGCTATGGTAGTTTTCCAAGATTCCGCTCCATATAGTAGAACGGTCTTGAGATTTGTACTGAAGATTCTGACTTGTTGACAGTTGTTTTGATTTCCAGATGATCTTCAGTTGTAGAAATGGAGCCCTTGCTTTGCCGATCCTCTGCCCTCACATCTGAATCTGATCCACCTTGCTCGTAAATGATGCTGCTCAGGTATGTAAAGGATTTACGTCCTCCCAACCATTTCCATCAACAGTCATTTGGTTGGCGCATGTTGTGTTGTGTCGGAGAATTTAGCTTTTCCCTTTATGCATGTTGAGACCTACTGCTGCAAAAAGCTACTACTTGCATTTGTTGTTGCATGTGGGATAGAAGAGCCAGATCATCTGAGAAATCCAGATCGTTCAGCTGTATCTTGCTTGTCCACGATATACTTTGCTTTCCTCCAGAAGTTGACGTCTTCATAATCCAGTCGATGACCAGGAGAAAGAGAAAGGGTGAGAGTAAGCAACCTTGCATATCACCAGTCTTCACCTCGAATGAGTCTGTCAGCTGACCTCCGTGCCCAATTTTGCGGTATAATCCATCATAAGAATTCCGTAAGATGGTAACTATTTTCTCAGGCACAACGTAGTGTTGAAGGAGCCTCCACAGTGTTTTACTGTCAACGTTATCGAATGCTTTCTCATAGTCAATGATGTTGATGTAGATTGGTGAGTTCCGTTCAATTGATTGTTCCACAATGATCCGTAATGTTGTAATTTGGTCAGTACACGATCGATCCTTACGAAATCCAGCCTGTCGATCTCGAAGTTGGACGTCTACGAAGTCCTTCATTCTGTTTAACAATACCCTGTTGAAGACTTTGCCTGGTATTGGAAGAGGAGTCATGCCTCTGTAGTTCTCACACTTGCTGAGATCGCCTTTCTTTGGTATTTTGATCAGGTATCCTTCTTTCCAATCTGATGGTACTTGTTCCTCATCCCAAATCTTGTTGAATAGAGTGTGGAATATTTCTGCAGTTTCTGCCACTTCTGCTTTCATTGCCTCTGCTAGAACGTTGTCCAGTCCTACTGCTTTACCGCTCTTGACTATTTTGATGGCCATGCTGATCTCTTTAATGGTTGGTGGGTCAACACTGATTAGGATGTTGCTTCGATGTTGCGTGTTTTCAGTGGAGCTGGTCGATTCAAGAGTTCCATAGGGTGCTACATCCACCTGTTTCGCTGTTCTCCAGTGTTGCTGATTACTTTGCCTTCCTTACGTCCCACTGGTCGTTCTGGTTTACGATAGTTTCCGGCCAGCTTCTTTGTTGTTTCGTACGATTGTCTCATGTTACCTTCTCTTGCAGCCTTTTCCACCGTCGTTGCTATATCCTCCACACATTTCCGTTTGTCGGCTCTGATGCTCTTCTTCACTTCCCTGTTTGCTTCTGTGTATGCAGCTTGTGCCTTAACTTTCTCTGCTCTTGTTTGGTTGATGCTGACTGCTGCTCTCTTGTTCCTGTTTTCTTTTCAATTTTTTCAAGGGTACCAACATAGATCTATTCATTCTGATGGTGCTTCCTGCGGCCCAGAACCTCGTGACATGTTGAAGTGATTGCCTCCTTGATCCCTTTCCAATTGTTCTCCGAGGTCGTTTCCTCTCCATTGAGTAGATCGTGCAAGGTCTGGAACTTATTGTTGAGGTCTATCTTGAATTCTTTGAGCTTTTCAGTATCCCAAGCACTACCAAGCACTTCATCTTAAAAAGTATTAGTTTTTCTATTCACCCATTGTCTCTTATTATATGCTGAAGACAGATCATCCAATCAATAATTGATTTTAGAGTAATGCAGAAGATTTTGACAACTCCTATGATTTCATAGGACGCGCATATTACGCACCGTAGGACTGTATGTACTGAGTGAAATACGTTGTTGTATTATTAATCGTTATTTCTCACACCTCACCTTAATTATCCTAACCTATTAAATTTTAAATGATGCAATTTGAGAGAATATTTTGACATCATTGGGTAGTTCATGAACCATTTGTGGTAATAATTGCTATTAATTCTTAATAAGTAACAAGTTTAAAAACCATATCAAACGGTTTCGAACAATAATAAGTATGATAATGCAGAAAAATAAAATGTACCATATTTTTAATTGAATGAGATTAATCAAGGTTGCCATAAGCGTTTCAGTGTACAAATGAATGCGAAATTGTGCATAATATTAGCTTAAAACTGATGGACTGGATGAATACAGGTACGAGACATGTTATAAAAGTCGTGTAGATTACGCATCTGAACTGCACTGAGATGGAAATGGTATGAGCTAGGCTTGCCGTTAATGCAAGTAAATTTTTCACATAGCCAAGGTGATTGTCTGCATATCTTCATTTGGATTAGAAAGAGATTCGTAAACACATGAGGTTGGTGTACACAAATAATTAGATTTTCTGAATTTAAGCTTGCAAACATTCTCTCTCATTCACTTCCATATCGATTGGGCTACGTATCTTAGGGAGCATGAGTGTATTGTAAATGAATCAGACTCAGGAATCATAATCAGGATTTTCCGTTCACTGAATCTAAATAAATCAATCAAAATTATATCTTCCATTATTATTATTATTATTATTATTATTATTATTATTATTATTATTATTGTTAACATATTGATTGAATAACCTGATCATTCGATTCGATATTCACTCAATCGATCATTGATTTTAGATTTATATATATATATATATATATATATATATATATATATATATATATATATATATATATATACATATATAAACTTGAATTTTTAAAATCCTGCTTACATGATCTACTGAATTCATCGGAACCGATAACTAATCAGGTTATATGCATTGTGTCTACTTTAGAATCGTGTTTGAAACATGAAAATCAAATCGAATGTGACAGAATTAAACAGTTAAGTAAAACACCAGTTACAAAAAAAGCCAGAATACGATCATGAGAATGGTGTGCGTTTTGTCAGTGAAAATGGTAGTAATAATGTATTCATTTCATTTTCACATGAACCTCATTTCTAAAATACCTTTGATTATTTAACAAATCTTTCTGTACGTACCACTTTTTAATATCAACACTACAAATGAAAATAGAAAATACTGATCGTACTGATCATCAAACACATGATGAACACAAAGAAAAAGAAGGTTTGAGCAAAGATGGATCAAAATATTTGGGAAATGTTTTAGACATTTGCAGACAATTTTGTCATTCAATTAATTGGTTGCTACCAAAATGTGACAAACGGAATTTTGACAAATCAACACGACAGACCGAATCAGACCTTACTTTATCAGCACTATATCGCCAGAATTTATATGGATTAATATTTGGAATAGTGCTTGGATTTATTGTTTATGGTTTGTTTGTTACTGTATTAGATCAACATCCATTTGTTTCAACACTATCAAGTGCTTATATTATAATGTTGTCAATATATGCCTTTTCAGCAAATTTCCGATGTATCGCACTAATGACATTTCCTTATTTAGCTTCAGGTGATGTAAGATGTTTAATACTACTATATGCTTCTGATTTATGTATATTTGAGTTAGGTCAAAGTTTTTTATACAATTTTGAAGTGTTCACAAGTTCATTTGATTGTATTATCTCGAAAATTGATCAAAGTTTATTTACTGTACATGAACTGAATCGTCCTTTGTTTAATGCCTTCAATGTTTTACTTGGAAGATTAGTTCATGACTTTAATTCTATGTTACAGTATATACGTTCAGTGCTGACAGATATTAATTTTAATACAATAAAAATTTTTTCAGCAATTGATTATGGTAACGGAGAGATTGATAAACTATATAAACGGTGCATTAACTCTGATGCTCATTACAATTTATGTGCAGAATTTTTACAAAGAGCTTTTATAATGTGTCGCACTGAGCTAAAAATATTTGTAGGTGATTTGAGTGATCAGTCTGTACAAAGGGAATTTCAAAGTGCTTGTCTCTACCTAAAAAATAACCAAGATACAATATGCAATAATATACAAGTATCTACTGATTCATGCTATGACTTCAGTGAATTTATAGCAAATAGTTCGCACTCATCAACTGCAAAGAATATGACAGACAGAATGGAGAGGATAATAGATGTTATTGGAAAGGAAAATGTAACTTTCCTATTAAATTCTGATGAACTTGATCGAGTGGCTAGTGAAGTGGATGAAGAACTGACTGATTTTAAGCATTCACATAGTGGCTTGAGACAATTTGAAGAAATGAAATTTCTAATTTCTTCGCTTTTATTTCTGTGGACAATGTACACCATGATGCAGTTAATTGTGAAATCAACTGTATTTAGAAACTGTTGGTTGAATAAGATATCATTTGATAATCATTATATAACTCCAGAATATATTCGGCAGGTAACCTGGTATTTTACAAAGAAATTCAATAATTTTTAATTAATATTCACTATATCATTGATTAACACATGAAAACATTTAAAAACGTGACTAGTTTGCCTCCTTAATCAAGTAACACGTATCGGCATTTCAGTGTCTGGGACCGTTCACTAAGATATTTGTTATAATTAGATTGGTTGCATTAAAAGTTTTAGTCTCCTTAGCATGTGTTATTAATTAAAATGGTAGGTCAATAAAAAATTACCAGTAAATAGAGGGTAACATGATTCTGATCTGTATACAAGTAGCGGTTGAATATGTCCTTTTGAGGTAGTATGGATGAAGCTGTCAGTAGGTGCTGAGTTGCTAAAAATCAAGAACTGTGGTTGGTATAACATATGCAGATAAATTTTTTATAACATAGATGTATGTAAGGATCATGAAGTTAGTGTGCAATACATATAGTCCTCTAAGGCTTCATTAATGTCTAAGACGAATATAACAGAAATAATGTCATTATTCATCACGATAGCTTCTTTTCTGGTTGTGTTTAGTGTCCATTTTGTTTCGCTCACCATCAGTGAAAAATCTTTGAATGTGAAATCGATAATGTGAAATATTCAATGGTTTTCATTTACTGCTTATGTTTCGAAAATAGATTTCGGAGGAGTGAGGTCATTTTGTTGGTTATACGAGAAATGAGTGCAGAGTTTTACACATAGGAGAATAAATACGTTGGCACAGTGAGTTGTAGGACTTAAGCTAACCCACTTTAAACTTAACTAATGGATACAACTATAGGAAATCCAAGATATTCGGTGAGGTTGAAGGATGGCTGACTGTTAGGAACTTTATTCTTCTAGAGAAGGATCTGCAATATGAAAACTGTAGGTTATCAAAGAAAATTAACCACATACCATATATAGGCAAGTGGTAAGTAGCTGTCATGCATATTCATTTGTTGTACCATAGTGAATGTAGATTTAAGCTGTTTATTCATGATATTGTATACATCTATTTCTAAATATATACAGGAGAAACAAGCAGTTCAACAAGGTCATCGTCCAACACTTCCACTAACACCTGATGAATCGGAACATTATAAAATGTTATTTGATTTGAGTTGGAGTCATCGTGAGAAGAGTACAATAACTAATGCAAACATACTCCATAACATGTGGATATTTATCATCATTATGATTATATTATTTATTCATGCAATGAACAGTTGTTTACTTTCTCTAGCCCTTTTAATCTCACATGATTTTTTTCAGTCTAAAAGAATTTTTAAAGATTATTTAAATACTGATCCTTTGAAATTAAACGACGCTCCAAAGTATTCAATTTTTTTTAATGGTGCATTCTATCAAAATTTTTTGTATGATATCATCAATGCTCGACTTCAACTCAAACATAGAATGTTATATAAGAAAATTATATCATGTCGACCATCAGTAAATTCACTGCATTTTAATAACATGCTAATTGTAACATTAATAGTTCTGACAATTTTAAGCCAATTAACCGAAGTAAGTATTATTCTCATTGAAATATGTAAATGTATTATATTTTTACCTATCGTAATGCCTATCGTAATTATTTACTTCCCGAAATTTTGTATTGTGAAATTTCTCAATATAAATATATCTAGTCTGTAAACTTATTAATTATCTACTCATGATTAGGTAGTATTTTGAGATGGTAAAGCGATTTCCCTACTGATTTTTTCTAGAACGAATAAGTTTTCTGAAATAGTTCAGTACAACTGAAGTGCACTTTAGGACTCTTGTTTCTCGGAATCTATTTGTTTTGATGTAGTATTTAGAAGTATATGTATCAAGAATTAAAGATATGCACAAACGAATGTATTGTATTTAGAATTCGAAATCAAGCATTCCACAACAACAAGAAGTTACTAGTTCATTCAAACACCACATTTGATCATACGTATGATTTTTACAGAATGCATGCGACATACATAAGCGTTAAATCAAATTTTCAAACTGAAAGATTTCAATATACTTTGATGAAGGTGAGCTGAGTCATTGGTCTACAAGTTAAACGTTTATGTGCGAAACCGAAGGTCTTTAGTTGGATTCCCGCTCGTGTGTTCGTGGATACCCACTGACATACTTGTTTTCCTAAATAATAACAATTACAATAGTAGTGATACTAACAATTTCACCATACATAGTTTAAGATATTAGTGCTTTATGAAATTTAGGTTTTATGTCCTTATCCGTACATATCTGTTGAAAATCAATTTCCAAAGGTATTTCCTTAGGTTCACTTCGTTGTCTATAACTTCTGGACTGTAAATTCTCCATATTCATTACTTATCTACGCCTGTTACCCCAAATGGAGCATAGGCCGCTAACCAGTATTCTTTAACCTACTGTGTCCTGGAATTCCCTTTCCAGTTCTGTCCAATTTTTGTTCATTCCTCTCATATCTTTCTCCATTTCTCGGCGTAATGTGTTGCTTGGCCTTCCTCTTTCCATGTTACTGTGAGGGTTCCATGTGAGGGCTTGTCTTGTGACGCATTTGGGTGCTTTCCGCAATGTGTGTCTTATCCACTGCCACCGCTTCTTCCTGACTTCCTCCCGCTGGTATCTGGTTTGTTCTCTTCCACAGTAGGTGTTGTTGATAGTGTCTGGCCAACGGGTCCGAAGTATTTTGTGTAGACAACTGTTAATAAACACTTGTATCTTCTGGATGATGGCTTTCGTAGTTCTCCAAGTTTCCTCTCCATACAGTAGAACTGTCTTAACATTTGTATTAAAAATTGTGACTTTGGTGTTTTTTGACAGTTTTTTGGAGTTCTAGTTGATCTTCGATTGTATAAATGCAGCACTTGCTTTGTCGATCCGCGACCTCACATTTGCATCGGATCCGCCTTGATGATCTTTGAGGCTGCCCACACATGTAAAGGTTTTTACATCTTCCAAATCTGCACCATCAAGTGTGATTCAGTCGGCACATGTGTTGTATCGGAGAATCTTGCTTTTCGCATAATGTATGTTGAGAACTGTTGAGACTGCTACTACACTGGCCGTCTTCTCGTGCACTTGTTGTTGCGTGTACGATAGAAAAGCCAGATGATCAGCGAAGTCCAGATCGTTCAGCTGCATCTTAGCTGTCCTCTGTATATGTAGCTTCTCTTCAGATGTGTGTATATTCATATAGTGAGGAACATAATTAGGTTTTCCTGTGAAAGCTCAATGGCTGACCATCTCATAGTGTTCTTCAAGTTCATTAGTCTTTTCGTGGCATTTTCATGTAAACGAAGTAAATATTTTGTTTGCTTTTAACTTCTGATGTGAAATAATTTTTGCATAGTTTTAATTAAACGCCTTTAGAAGATGAATCGAATCATATATTTATTGTCATAAATGATTAAGATATCGTCCACGTACCTTTTATAAAAATGCAAATCGGTAGTAGTCCAATAAGTCGATTGTTTACAAGATTGGCTATGAAACAATCTGCTAGTAGGGGACCAATAGGAGATCCCATTACTATACCGTGCTTTTGTCTGTAAACTCCCTTACTAAATGTTGACTGTTCGTCAAAAATGTTTTATAATAGTAATTCCTTTAAATAAGATGATCCGGACATATTTAGAATGGGTTCGAGAGGTAGGTCTGATTTATGCATTTTATATGTTTGCCGTAAAAAAGAAGCCTTTATTTATGAAGCTGCAATTCAACGGAGATGTGGCCTGCGATACTCTGCAGGACAGATTAATAAGAATAATTAATAGAACATTCAACGCTGCCAAACTGGTATTGACTTTCTCCAGTGGACCAGCGATGTCTACTCAAACGAAGGATAAGTTACCTGAGCTGGCCTCCTCTATGTGCATTTACAAATTCAGCTGCTCCTGTGGAGATAGCTATATCGGGCGTACTTCCAGGCAACTTACACAACGAATGAGTGAACATCTCCCAGCATGGTTTACGAAGGGGCAGTGAAAAACAATACGCAGTTCTATCTTAGCACACCTGGTAGATAGTGGTCACATTGTAGATAAATCTAGATCTTTTCGGGTGTTCTATCGTATACCTCCATCATTTCCCAACGGAGTTCGGTCCCGTCTCCTACATATTGCAGAAGCCATAGGAATAAGTACATTCATCCCTAATTTATGTGTTCAGAAGAAATTCGTGACACCCCTATCTCTTCCGTGGCCGGATATGACATAACTAACGATGGACATTATATATATATATATATATATATATATATATATATATATATATTGATTTTATTTTATTTTTACACATTTGCTTATTACGTAATGTTTTTGATGTTTTTACTGATTATTTAAATTCTATTCATCCACCTTTGACCTACTTTAGTTATCATATTTTATAAATTTTCTTACTACTATCTGTACACCTGTTTTCCTACTATCCACTTGAACTTTTGCCTATTATATGTTGTTACGTAATCTTTTTCATTTCATTGTGATTATCATTCAAATTGCCTTGACTGGTTTAACATTTTCATATAAATATTCATGTATATTAGAGTAAAGTCTGATAACGATCTAATCGAAAACAATATTGTTCACTTATATGTGTTGTTCTAATTATGCATTTTAGGCTGACCATATAGTCGTGGCATTATTGATTCTGTCAGTTGTATGAGCTCGTATATCCTTCATTAACAGTGGAGTAGTCAGTCAAGTCAGTCCAATCAACGCACATCAAATTAATTGCAGGAAAACAGTTTAGATACAGAAATTGGTAAAATTTTAATCATCATAAGGAAATCTTATCACGGATTGAATTATGAAGTTTTGTAGGGAGGCCTGCTCACAAATACATTCCAAAGGAAGACTGAAAACACTTTGACCACAAAAAAAAGCCACAAAAAGATTGTTTATTGATAATGAACGCAGTTTGTGATGTAACTTAATTCTATCAAATGACTTCCAAAAAATATGATTAAAATCAGCGAAACGAAACTATAAAGATTCTTAATTATCACTCCAACAGTGGCTCAAAAAATTATCTCACGTCAAGGTTATGAGTGACTTCATTTAGTAGCTTCATTTAGAAACTAATGGGAAGCCTCGAAATATCCCTCTGAAAAGTCTATAGAAGTTCTGAAACGCTAGAAAACGATTTACCCAATCAGTTTTGAATAAAACCTTTGAAGAAACACCGGCAAATGCTAAATCACATGCTACGATTTTAATTGAATGCTTAGCCATACCACTACTATACTCGGTAGGATTCAGGAAGATTCCAGGAGGTCAAGGTCATGAGCAACTCTATAAATACTTTCATTTTCTTGAACATCATCTAACCTTGGAGTTTTCATCATATTTCGCTCCTTTTCTCTTGTGTTCAAGTTACAGTGTAGATCTAGTCTGGGATTATGAGCAACAGATCTTGCGTTTGTTCAGCAGACTTGTCAGAAACTCCTTTTTTAAATTATGATGTTTATAATGCAGCTGAAACGAAATTAATAAGGTCATTCATCTTTGTCATAGTGACTTGCCCATTTTGTTCTTTATGCTTAACTTTTACAAATTAAAATGTGTTCACTTTGACCTGCGATGTAATTCCCATCCAAGGTCATCATGGTATAGTCATCAATCAATGTTGCACTTATACCCTGAAATTTATTTCCGGAAAATAAACAAATAACTTATTTCACCATGTTATAAATCTTAAGCAACAGTGGATAACTGATTACAGCACAAGCCAGAATATACAAGGATAACTTTCACTTAAAATTCACTTAATTCAAATTGCTTTTGGCATCCTTCAGTGCGCAGAGCCAAAGCGTAAAAAAAATGTTTTCTAAAACTTCATAGCTGAATATCTTTATTCCTATTTGGTTGATAATTCGACTGTGTCATTTTACAGTAAGTATGCTATTCACATCCAGTCATGATGTTGTGCAGTGTAATAAGATGTCTAAATAATAACTGATTAAAACAGGTTCATCATCATTCAGCTATCACATAAACGGATGATCCATTACATAGTGTAACATGATTAACAACCATAATTAATTTTACATAGTAGTGAATAGATTAAAAACGAGTACTGGGTTATAATATTTTTAAATATATTCATTCAAGTATCACAGATTGTATATGTAAGTAAAATTGACAGTTCTCTAACTAAATAAGTGCCTTTCAAACTGCTAAAGTTTGGTTTTCTACAATGAGTAGGACTAATAGATATAATTATTGATTATTAAGCGATTTAAAATAATGCCATACTGATTTCTCTATTGTGATACTTAATATATCCAACAAACGGAAGTTTTAATAAGCCCATTGTCTTCAATCTTCGATTGTTACTGTTTTATTAATTGTAATTACTTTGTGATTTTGTAAAACACATGTATTTTTTTTTTTATGTACCAAGGTATACTTGATGAGACTGCGCCATATCATTATGATGTGGTATTATCCGCAAAAGTCATATCGTCGAAGTGTATGGTTACGTGAGCATATTAACATCAAACGTGATGCTAAAACTAAAAATGAACCTGGTTATTGTCTTATGAATAATTCGGAACTGCATCAAGAATTATACACATTTAATAACAATGTTAGTAGGCAATATTTTTCAAACTTCAATGTACATAATTCCGAAGAGAATAATTCCAACCGACCTGAATTTGATCTGAATCTATGCCCCATATGTCAAAATGATCTTGTATGCGAGAAATGCCGTACATTATTAGGCTTGAAATAATGACGAATGGGTTTAGAAGAACAATTAAACTAAGAATTCAGAGTATCGATAGAGTTGACCAATTTCTAAGCTAATTTATTGATAAATCCACAGTGGTTCAATTTAACCGAATATCACTTACAGATTATTTCACTTTTTTTTTTGAAGAAAGTAAAAACAAAGATTGGTACAGTTATAGTATGAATTCATTTTATTTCGTTAAGTCCCTCATCTAGCAGACGAATACTCAATTTTTTGAAATTTGCCAAAGCTGTCACCATCAAACTTCTGAAATTGGATTTTTGTTCAAAAAAAAACCCAGTAATAAATGTGTCCTCTATTACATCGTCTTTTATTTTAAATCTTTCTCGTAATTTGATTACATCATTTTTCATTTACTTTTGAACTCATAATTTTGATTCCGATTGACTGAATTTAAATTAAATTAATCTTTATTAATCTGACCCTGGTTACTTCATTCATTATTACAATAAATAACTGTTTACAACAATCTTGTTTTGTTCAAATTTTTAAATTTTTCCGCCCAATCGAAGAAATAGGCTTATTTGATTAATTATGTGCTTGTTTTCTCAAAAGTAAACTGCATAACCAATGATTGTTGAAATTAATTAAACCCAATGTGAAATTAGTGTGCACTACACAATGGGTAACAAACAGAATATTGTGTCAATAAGTGACGATTGATTTGTGATGGAATTTTTTTATATATTTAAACGTTGTGATGATGTAGGAAGTATCCAGGCACAAGTTATTCGTTTCATGATATGCAATGTTAAAAAATAATATCTAAATTAATGAAAGAAGCGTTTTGTAAAACACAACTAGATATCTAGAATACTAGGTGAAGATAATCATTAGAGGATATTCATATGAGATAGTATGATAGAAGTATAAAGAGGTTGCTTGAACTCAAAACTAAACTACAGTGAAACGAATTAAGTATATCGAGTATAATTCTTATCTAAATAGACCACTGCATGATATATTCCCAAGTATTGATGTCTTCATTCAACAATTTTAGTAAAATGTTCAATGGAATTCTGTTTATAATAGTAGCTTTAAACTTGAAAAAAACATGGGACTTATTCCATTGTAGAGATCGTAACATTTTACTGACAGTCTTAAATCCATTGTTAGTATAATCAAAAAGAACCGTTGGGTAGAGTAGTCTGTCTGTAAGCCATATAATATTAGAAACTCCAATTCAGCAGTAGGTTGATATACATAATACAAAGTAACGATTCCAGTGAAACTGCAGTGCAATCAACTTTTTTGCTCTCCTGTTGATTATAAAATAAAATGATTGGAAATGTATATTATGTTGAAGTAAATTTTCTATTTAAAGGAATAATAATCGATTATCATATGCTATTTAACTGTGGTGAAACTGTGATCGGATGAGTTTGCTTTTATGCACTTGATAATTTACCAAGTATAAATTGGAATGGAGGAGTTTATTTCTGTTTTTCTAATAATTAGTAATCTGTTGAACCCTGATGTTAATAAATGTGAACAGATGGTGATTTGATTCTGCTGGAAGTGGTTTTGTGCACTCTGCGATGGATTTATATAAATACAGGAAAAATATATATATGAAAAATACGTATTGCGAATGTTTCTGAATAAAGTTGGAATTTAAGCTGAATAGGCAATGAAAATATCATTTTCGATAAGGATGACTTGAGACTGTGACAATTACTAATCACTCAACTGTTAGGTTCTAAACATATATAATAAATTACTTCCTTCCTCAAGCCTGTCACTCCCAATGTAGCATAGGCCACCCAGCAGCATTCTTCAACCTGCTCTATCCTCAGCCTTCTTTTCCACTTCTATGCAGTTGCTGTGCATTCTTTTCACATGTGCTTCAAATTCTCTCCACAGAGTGTTCTTTGTTCTTCCTCCTCAAATTGGGCCTTGAAGATTGCAAGTGAGAGCTTGCCATGTGATGACGGATGCAGTTGGTTGCTTTCTTCAATGTGTGTCCTATCCACCTCCACTACTTCTGCCTGCTTTCTTCCTCTGATGGAATCTGATTTGTTCTCTCCTACAGTAGGTTGTTGAAGATGGCGTCTGATCAGCGGATCCGAAGTGTCTTGCGTAGCCAAGTCTTAATGAACAACTGCATCTTCTGTATGGTGACTTTCGTGGTTCTCCAAGTTTGCGCTCCATACAGCAGAATTCTCTTTAAGTTTGTATTGAAAATTGTGACTTTGATGCTGGCTGACATACAGTTGTTTTGAGTTGCTGATGTTCTTCAACTGTAGAAATGTTGCGCTTGCATTGCCGACGAGTGCCTTCACATCTGTATCAGATCCACCTTGCTCATCAATGATGCTGCCCAGATATGTGAAGGCTTTTACATGCTGCAAAGCTTCTCCATCAAGTGTGATTTGTTTTTTGCATGCTGCGTCGTATCGGAGCATCTTGCTTTGCCTCTCGTGTATGTTGAGACCTATCTCAGCTGATATTGCAGCTACACTGGTCTTCTTCTCCTGCATTTGTTGTTACGTGTGGGATTGAAAAGTCAGATCATGTGCAAATTCAAGGTGGTCGAGCTGCACGCCAGCTGTTCAGTGTATCCTGTTCTTCCCCCAAATGTTGGCGTCGTCATAATGTAGTCGATCATCAGCAGATGGGGAAATGGTGATTGTAAGCATCAGTGCAATTTCCTGTGTATGTGAAGCACTTCTGTTTCATGGCTGTAGTACAACAGCGTCTCTCCTGAAGCTAGTAATTTTTACGCAACCTGCGTCTTACGGGTTTCATCGATTCTACGCACCGTTAGGTTGTACTGCTTCATTTTCACAGCAACTTGAATTGTTATTCCGGTCTCCAACATTGTGTGACGTGTACGAACTTTTCATGTTCTAGTGTTAATTGTTTCTCTGGTTATCAGAAATAGCATCGACCTCGTCACTTCCAAATTAACTTGGCTTTCATCATAAGGTGTGATAACTCTTTAGAATGAAGACCTTTCAACTTACAGGACAGAGTTTAAGTGGTTTGAATAATTTGTTTTGGTTAGTGTATTGTTAGCAAGTTAGTTTTCTACTGGATGAGTTTGCTAACCTAATTTCCAACCCTCCTCCTTTACCCGGTTTCGGCACCCACAATAGCCTTGAAGAGGTTACAGGCGGAGTTATCTGTAATAATGTTTATCATCAAATAAACAATTCATGTCACATGGATAGTTAACATGGTTCGAGTGGTATGTTATGTAAAATATGTCTTAACTACTGTTGATAATATATATTTGATGTATGTGGATGAAAATGTTGTATAGATTTCATGGAATCGGAGCGGAATATTAAGGGAAGATTAACCTAATCCAGTAGAAAAACTTAATCATTTTTATGCAATAAATGAAACGGAATAAAAAAATATTACTGATGCGACTATTATTATCATTATCATCTATATGATTGCATATATTGTTGAAAGTAGTAAGAAGCGCAAACGTACACTTATTTAATGTGTAGGTTGAACTTAACATCCAAACAATTGCCTGATCAATTTGATTTCAATCTATCATTCAATGCCATAAATGTTCACTGTGAAGCATCTTTATTTCGTTAACACGATACAACAATCCAGATACACTTTTCACAATAATTGTAAAGTGAACAAATACTACTCAGTAAAAATCTTAAGTAAACAAGTAGAATTCATATACCTAGAAGCCATCATTTTCTAATTGCATTGTATGATATTTTATTAAGTACTAGAAACTTTAAAGTTAAGTTACTATATGATCGAGCAGTGTTCATTAAAATGTGAACGCATTGTTTATGTCGTTCTACAATTAGCTGACCTAACATATCAAGGTGATAGTCACCAAAAACAAATGGGTGAGGTCGCGCAAAATCCGTAGATCAGTCAGAGTTAGGCATTAACAACGTTGGATGTCGGCCGAATGGTCTGATGGTTAGGCGTTCGCGCACAATACCGAAGGTCTTCAAGTGACCACACTGTCACAACTAAACGCACTTTGAATAAATGTGAATGAAAACAGTAATTTATATTTGATAATTAAAAATCAGTATACATATATTCAATCTTCCTTTGTAGATAATTTTTGTCGGCCTCCAATAAAATAAGACTACTAAATCTTGTAGAAATTCCTTTATAGATGATACAAACAACAGCTGGAAATTCTAACTCCTTTTGTAAGTAGGATGCCTTGACTGACCTTTGCCCATAAATTTGATGACCATGATGGTGAGTTTGCCATTTTCCTGGGGAGCCAGAATCGAGAGGTCTTCAGTCGATGATTCTTCCTCTCTAAAGCCTCAGTACAAGCACGGTGGCCTCTAAATGTTTCTTCACTGAGTTCGGAACTTCTAGTTTTTGGATGATTGTCATTCGTCAATGGGACGGATTACACAAACGTCAGTAAAATTATCACTTTGATCGGACATATGTTCAAAGAAAATGAGCTTGTGAAGATCGAATTCCTCTAACTTTAGGGTTTCAGTGTGTCCGATACGGATATGGTGGGATGGACCCAGAATACGATGCTCGTAGTCCGTGTCATCGTTGGGATTTCTGTAGACAACTGAAACTAGCAGCGCCATCAGATCTCAGTGAGCATCATACAGACTCACAAATGAATGTTAGTTGTTTGAGTGAACACTTAGTGTGCTGCTAGGCAGGATCGCTGATACAAAGCTTTTCCGTGTCCATTTCCAGTTTTTCTGTTGTTTTGAAGTTAATACATGCAGAGTATTATTAGCTTCTGTCCCTTGATTAAGAAAGATGTCCATATTTCAGGTATCCCAATCTGACAAGTATTATAAACATTACGAAACTTGTGTAACTCGTTCACTTTGTTCGAAAACTTGTATAGTCCATATATGAGGAATTGATGTCTTTGAGTTGCTACACATGTCTGCCTGAATGAGCTTTATATGAAAGGACAGACAACCTACTTCACGGGGTTTTCCGAGTATATATACTCTGTACCTTCTACGTTGTCTATTTTTCACCGGTTCATTAGTGGAATAGTCAGTTCGGATTTGCTTTTGTGTTCAGTCGCTGTACCATATGTAATGTCGGGCGGATTCGGTAACCGATGTCTTTCGTCACATAGTGCCACAATAGTGGCGACTGCCATTTGAGAAGGAGGGAGGGTTGTCTCCTGATATGGTAAGTATTATCTCTTCAGTTGAAGTGCTAATAACATTTTCATCAGTCTATTCAAATTTTAAAAACGACTAATGCCTAATTGTATAACATTATAAATATGTGTTCACACCTAGTGTATTATTAGAATGATGCTGTAAAACACAACTCAGTTCAATTTCTAGAAATCGGAATGGTAACTCAACTATAAATAATTATTATAACAAGCACT